GACGACGCCACTCACAGCGCAGCCAATGGCAAGCGTGCTTGGGTAGACATTGAGAACAACATAACTGATTGTCACAGGTCCCGTTAATTAGGGAGGCGATCGCCGGGCTAATTCCAAGGGCCGAAGTATCGGCCCCCCGAACCGCACCACGAAAGCGTGGACAATTTAGAAGTGGTCCTATTTGGCGCGCCAGCGGACGCCGGCTGTGGCCCAAAGAACAAGTCAGAGCCGAGAGTTGATAAACAAACAAAATTATATTCTCAATAATGGCAGATCAAAAACAATACACAAGTATGCACACTCCACAATAGTTGAGTACAATATGTCTCCAATCAAACAACGTACTACACAGTACAATCAGCCACACTCGAAACAACGGACACAGACAACAATACGCACTACAATGCAGTCGCATGCATTGAACAACCAAGACACTTAAAGACTAAAGAGATAGAAAACCTATTCAGTCCAAAGTTCTTGGAACAAAAGTCTGGATGATACTCTTCCGAGAATCACTCACTCAAAGTCCAGCGTTGTTATCGTTCCGCTGCTCCCGAAGTTTCTCTTCCAGGAAACCTCGACTGCCCCCGAAGTTTCTCTTCTAGGAAACCTCGCGTCTTCACTTGGCCCCTCTCCAAGCTTCGACCTTCTTCGCCGGAAACACGTCGGCTTCACACACGCAGCTGTTGCCACGCGTCTTCGCTCGATAGTGGTAGACACACGCTCTTGCCTGTAGCTCGAGCCTTCACCCCTCAGGTGGAAATCCTCTTCTTCTCCTGCTTTGTCCCTACGGACAAAACCTTTGCCGACTACACGGCGGAATCCCTACGCGCTCTGGCGCTAACTTCCGTCTTCTCCTGATCTCTCATCTCGGCTGCTCGATTAAATACCTTCCGCGCGAGATTCCAGAAAGTTCTCACCATATCGTCGGCGCGATGCGCAGCGAAGGCTGGGGGAAAGGGCGAGACGATACGGGGGCTGTCCGCGACGGATGACTCAACCCGGCATCACCCCGCCCCTTTCCATCTAGAACATTCGAGGGCTTGCTCGGGCGCCGATGAGAGGAGGTTCGTCGGCGAACCCACGCTTCCGAGGGGAGAAGGACGCGCGCCCGGGGAGTCTTTGAATGCTTGTTTTCTTTTTTTTTTATCGTTGACCTCTCGGCGCTTCGTCGCGAGAATTTGGCGGCGCGCCTGTTTTTTGAGCGCTCGTTTTGTGACACTGATAGCACAACCAATACAGATCGCTCGTGACGACACCTAATGGTTTCAAATGCGAAGCATTTCTTATCGAACTTCGGCGAGTTTGAGCATATCTTCTATCTATCTAGCCGCCTACGACTTTTAGCTCTCCTGGTCGTTTCGGTAATGGCATCGATACCGAACTTGGTATGGCATAACATAACTGTATGAAGAACATATTTGACTAGTCATAACATGAAAATCATGACATGTCTGTCATGAATTTCATGGTTTACATTTAAGGGTCCTGCAGCTCTTGCGGTGATTTCGTTCACATGGCAGGTTGCAAAACTGGTATAGTATGGCATGATTGCATGACGAACACAAGCGACAGAACCTAACATGAAAATCATGCCATGCGCGTAATGTAACATGACTACATGCCACGCTCATGATGCGCTGGCGGCCGTCTCGCTATAGCTTCACATATACCAAATTTGATTGATTGATTGATATGTGCGGTTTAACGTCCCAAAAACCACCATATGATTATGAGAGACGCCGTAGTGGAAGGCTCCGGAAATTCCGAGCACCTGGGGTTCTTTAACGTGCACCTAAATCTGAGCACACGGACCTACAACATTTCCGCCTCCATCGGAAATGCAGCCGCCGAAGCCAGGATTCGATCCCGCGAACTGCGGGTCAGCAGCCGAGTACCTTAGCCACTAGACCACCATGGCGGGCCGTAGACGCCAATGGATGACCAAGGTATGTGACTGGTGCAAACATAATAATCATGAGATGCGTGTCATGTGAGAACATGACTACATGCCACCGTCAAGGCACCAATACGTTTCGACATGACGCGGTGCGCGTGCTCGCCGGCGTTCATTTCGTCGCGTCACACCGGCGTTGCCATGCCAGGCACCGGTCCTGCCATATACTCGCAGTTGCGCGCTGCGTTGCTTTCAGGCATGCGCGTTTCAGCACGTCCCTCCATCACGAAAAGAGGGAGACGCAGTGTTGTCTGCGTAACGCATCGGCGGGAATTATGCGCCGGTTGCCGTTGGGCCGCGCCGATGGACGCTGGTCGCGCCGGTCGCGCCTGGCGTTACACTACAGAGTGCTCGCGTTTTGCCAACGCAGCGTCGCTGTGCCCAGCGTGCGCGTGCGTCAACGCTACATTGGAGTATATGATTGGGCCCTTCATGATGCGCTCGCAGCCGTTTTGCTAGCTCCACATATACCAAATTTGGTGTTACGTGACGTCAATGGAAGACGAAATATATGACCGGTGCAAGCATGATAATTCTGACACGCGTGTCATGTAAGAACTTGACAACATACCACGCTAATAGCGTGCTCGCGGCCCGTTCACAAGCTCCATATACGCTAAGTTTGGTATCACGTGACGTGAATAGATGACGAAGGTATACGACACATCCAAACATGATAATCATGACACAGAAGTAATGTACGGGATCATTTACCTCCACATCTTAACGTTGTGCTGATTTTAAAGTGACATATCAACATTTCTCATTCCTGCTTCACAAATTATCGATTCCTACTGTACGTGGGATCTGCCAATTTTTTTGTCAAGTTCTCCTAGCCATATACAGCTTTCGTTGTAAAAAAAGAAGCGGGGATATTGGAGAGGACCAGCTGCCGGCGTTCTTTTGCCGTTCTATGCTAGCTTGTAATCAACAACTTTGCCTTTTACCCCCCCCCCCTTTTTTTTTCTCTACTATTCATACACCGTCTAAGCTGACGAAACCAACCAAACTGTGCCTCGCTCCAAAGCCACTACTGTAAACGCCGATTCCTGCCCTTTACAGGACGCCACTTGTCTCGTTCATGCATCTGCTGTCGCGCCGCCTATGTTAGCATGCACGTGTTCGGCACGGCTACACATATGCTTCCATGCGGGATACACAATTAAATCATGACTGCGGCGGCTGCATCTACGGTGGAGGCAAAAATGCCATGGGCCCGGGTGCTCAGATTTGGGTGCACGTTAAAGAACCCCCGGTGGTCGAAATTTTCGGAGCCTTCCACTACGGCGTCTCTCATAATCATATTGTGGTTTCGGGACGTTGAACCCCACGTATCAATTAATCAATCACAATTAAATCGTTGCAATGTTGCCGTCTGGTGTAGAAACGTTACGGTTATAGGCCGACAGGGCACCTGACCAGCAGGCATCACTCGGAAAGCAGGTACGTGCAAACGCATGGCCCCTCGCGCAATCTTGTTTGCATATAGTATGGTGTTGTTTCGTGGCCGGTCAGACGCAGTCGAACACTGTTCCTGACTATGTACAATACTGAAGCACGATATAACAATTTTTAGTATAACAGCAATGAGCGAGTGCGCGTGATATTTACGTCATGTCGATCAAAACAGAGCCGCTGAAAGTAATGTCGCCTCTAATGTAGGCGTTCACGTCACAATTACGCCGATAAGACCCGAACTGTAGACGTTGAAAACTAAGTGTAAGCAGGACACAGCTCTAAAATTTCAAGTTTGAATCCCTAAGTACTGTACAGTCATGGATGTTTCAAATACGGACGATATAGGGCTGGTTGTAAGAGAAGCTCTTATAACGCCCAGATTTCAGCGTCACGCAAAAGGCGCAGCACGTGCTAGCGAAAAATATAAATGCGACCCTCGTTTTCTACAAGTCATGCTCTTTCGATTATGGGTTTAATTTGTCGGTGATCAGCCGTTTCTGAAAGGTAGTATGATCTTTCATTGAGGTCACTAGTAATTTTACGCTGCTACGTTTAATCGCCACCTGGATATGAACGCATGGCAATCATTGTGCCTGTAACTTGAAATGATGCGCTGCTAAGCACGGGGACGCAAACCCAGTTCCCGGCATGTAATAAGTAAACAGCAGGGAGGGAGCACTGAGTAATACAAAATAAATAAATAAATAAATCAAAACACTATGGTTCGGCACACGAACTTCGCTGTCACTTTTTTTTTCTGATCACTCACGAACTCCCCAATTTTAAGGCGATAACCTCAGATGCGTCATAAAACGCTAAAACTGACCGGCGTCGACGTCTCACGTCGGTGGAGTCAACACGAATCATGCAAAAGATAGTCGCAGTGGGAATCGTTGAAATATGTCACGTCATCATTCTGTATTCTGTATGCACGCGAAAGCCAAGTTATATAGTCGTGAGAAACGTACGTCGCCTCCGATCTTGGTGGCATCGCAATACCACGTTAGTCACCATGGTCACACCGACAGCTTTCCGTGGTGAGGCGGGAGGGAGGTTCAGTAAATGCGTCGACTTAGAAGACAAACAAGATACTTTCGAGTCACGTTTGGTAAGATACCGTGCGAGCTTTTTGCTTTTGCGAGCACTCCCAACGTCATCGTGATTTTGATTTGCACTCTCAGTGTCAAGTCCGCGCAATCTTTTCGCGAGGGCATCATTAGCGGCCGGGAGACTGCGCTGTCGGGTTATCACTGGCGGAAGCTGCTGGCGCTTCATTTGTCCATGACAGAGCATCACTTTACAAAAAATAAGCTATTATCGTCGGTTGCAACCGTCGTATCACCGTTTGCAAATGTCGTTGTTCGCGTCGAGCCAAGATAATGGATTTAAATTGTTTAAAATGGCAAGTCTTGTGGAATCTAGCTGCACGAGGACCGGGCGTTCCTTGGTGCGCTAATCGGGCACGCAGATGCGTTCGCAGCAGATATCGCGATGGAATATCGAAGCAAACAAATTTGATTGTGATACAGTGAAGAGTTACCTCAAAACTAACCCGTACGTTCTTTTTTTTTTCTTCAAGCAAAATGGCAGCCACAATACCTTGCCTGTGTCTACTCTACTCGCTCTTCTTCCAAGCGGTGCAGTGTTTTACGAGGCAGCCTCACATCGTCTTCATCTTAGCCGACGACATGGTAGGTTCGATTTTAACACGTGTATGTTACCGGATGAAGCTGTTTCGTGTCTCTCTCTCTCTCTCTCACACACACACGCGCACGCGCGCACACGCACACACACGCACGCACACACACGCACGCACACACACGCACGCACACACACGCACGCACACACACGCACGCACACGCACGCACGCACACACGCACACACACGCACGCACGCACACACACACACGCACACACACACGCGCACACACACGCGCACACGCGCACACGCACACACACGCACACACACGCACACACACGCGCACACACGCACACACGCACACACACGCACACACACACACACGCACACACGCACACACACACGCACGCACACACGCACACACACACACACGCACACACACACACACACACACACACACTCACTCACTCACTCACTATATATATATATATATATATATATATATATATATATATATATATATATATATATATATATATATATATATAATGAGATCTAACAGACAGTAATGCCTAATGCCAAGGGAAGTTATTAGAACCAAAATGGAATGTAAATAAGAAGAAAGAAAAGTGGGTGAAAAAATAACCAGCCGTGAGCAGGCATTACTGTCTGTTAGGTCTCATTATTATTGTGTCAAAACACTGAAAAACGAGCCGTTAGGTATACACTTCTTTCCCATATATATATATATATATATATATATATATATATATATATTGTGTTTTCATAACTTCAGTATTGCAAATCATGTCGCTCCTAGCGTTGACATGAGATTATTTGTCGACGACTGTCTGCCGTTATATCATGCTAAAATTGTCGGTGATCAAATTCTGCCTAATGAATCCCTGAGCATAATATTCAATTGCCGCCCCAGGTAGGATATTGTAACGCACAATTCGTATGGTATAACAATAAATATTTATTGGCAGCTAACTTGTGCCCGAGAATGTCAAGGAAAAAGTAGCAGCCTTTGTCGTAGGAGAGCCGAAAAGGAATAAATATCTCCGAGAACTCCTCAAACGGTGCGCCACGTCGTCACCGAAAATGCCCTGCTGTGAGGCGCACGCCGTCACGGCCTCTTCTTGTTTCATCATCGGGCTGCTGGTCTCTTGGAGGGTGCACAGACTTCTGTGCGCAAGTTTCAATATGGCGTCAGTCTTATGTTCCATATGAAGATCAACTTTGAGAAAGTCCCATTGTATAACGTTTTCAGACGAGAAATCTCCCTTGAATTTTAGGAAATTCAAACACACACAAAAATTTACATACCTCAGCTTGACAATCAGTCGGTATCTATTAGAATGAACGCATCGATAGGATCTGCAGAACAGCCGAACGCAAACTTATCTTTTTTAAAAAGAAAACTTTCCGCTGCTAGCTCCAGTGTGAAACTTGAAGCTTACAAGATGATCGTACGACCAGCCCTTGAATACGCTAGTATACTTCGGGACCCGTCACAAGCAATACTTAATCAATCTGAGAATGCGTTTAAAAATTGTCCTGGAAGAATAATTTAGTTGTCTTATCAACGAACGCAATCCGCAACAGTCCCTGCTAACAAGAGTAGAACTCCACACCTAATGTCAGGCAAAGTTTGCCCATTTAAAGCTAATTTATCAGCTGGCAGTCGGTAAATTAAACTCAATTTGGACTCTTCCTTGTACCTGCGCCCACTATCGAAGAAATTCTCGTCAGCACCATTCAGTGGTCACGTATTTTTTTGCCCTATAATGACGAGCCTATGCGTATAAATATACATTTCTTGTTCGCTAGAATGGCTGGATGGAATAGCCTCAGTTCGCAAGTTTTCAGCGGCATTAATATCTAGGCTTTTGAACGAAATCTAGAACAAGTAGCAAGCGCCGTGTAAACTGTAGTCTATTCGAGACTTACGACTCGAGCTTCGCCAATATTTTTTTTTACAAACCGTATTTGTGCAGACAAGCGTACATTTATCAATGCAGGGATGGGACGACGTCAGCTTTCACGGGTCCTCTCAAATACCGACGCCGAATTTGGATGCCCTGGCAGCGGACGGTGTAATACTCAATAACTACCACGCTCAGCCTGCCTGTACTCCTTCAAGGGCAGCGCTGATGACGGGACTGTATCCCATACGCACAGGTGGGTTGAAAAGATCAATTCCTACCTTCGCCTGCCATTGCTCGCCAACAACTCTGACACATATGACCACTAGTTTGGATAGGCATGACACAATATGTTGACATACTACTCAGCCATATTATTTGGCTACGTTCAAGCACCTTGACACTTGGCATCCAATTCAACTGGAATAAACTCGTGCAGTCAGACCACGCTGCTTTCCTTAACGCCAGTCGCTTGCGTCAAGTGAACAGAGTTTCATTTTTTTAAGAGGGTCCTGCACAATGGTTTTGTGTGTATATAAGAAAAAAAAAATGGAATGAAGCTGAATCGAATATTTTCGTTCACGGTTATGATTGTTGTTTGTGGTGGTTTGTTTCTACTTTAATATATGTAATAATTTTTACGCCCACTCAGCGAAAAATCTGTCAGTCCACCCATCCATCTCTCACGTAAGAAGAACTGTTATGGAGAAATTAAAGCAGAAAAAAAGATAACATTCCCGTGGCGGGTTTCGGACCTAATGTTCAGAAACTTCTGTACTCTTTTCTCTCTCTCTCTGGGCAAAAGGACAACGCTTGCGAAACGTGACTATTTCTGAACCATGCGAACGCAATTTACAGATATTTCAGAACGAGTGCTATAATGTGAACACTTAATATGACTCTTTTCAAAATACTTCATTATCAAGGAATATAAATCTCTCTATAGCAACTGAAAAAAGCCAAAATAAAGCCCTCTACACGCCAGAGAATTCTCGACTTCGCGATAATTTCGCCGCGACCACTTGCGTTTAATAGTCGGGAAGTGCTGAAGAATTATCGTTTTGCGGCCACTGTGCTTAAAAAGACGTGTGCAAGTATGCGCGGAAGCGAAAATTCTCTTGCGGCGCCTCCCTTTATTTTCTTCTCTTCTACGCCCTCTTTGTGAAATGTATTTCGCGAACCAATCAAGTGTACCTCAGCAAGCTTTAGCACTAACTCACCCAAGAAGTCCTCTTGCAACGGTCAAAAGTTTTCCATGCTTCATACAGCAACGCCGCTGTGTATAACTGCCACCTCAATATCTCTGGAGGTGCGCATATGAGGCATTTATTTTGTATACGCTGGCAACGACTCACGAGTTTGCTCTTACCTCGTTCAAATTGATGTGAAAAACTCTGTACTCATTCAATAATTATCTGAGCCTGACATTCTGAATAGCTGCCTCGACTTTCTTCACGTGCCATCCAGGATTGCAAGGCCTCGCACTTGACGTAGGAGATCCGTGGGGGTTGCGGTCGGACGTACGGATTCTGCCCCAATACCTCAAAGACCTCGGGTACGAAACGCACATCGTTGGAAAGGTACGAATATTTTATAATTGCGCCAGCAACAGAGGGTGTGTGTTTGTGCGTGTGTACTTTCATAAGTGCCGAGGACGAGTGCACGTACAGCCGACCGGAGGTCATTGCACTTCCAGTTGCGCCGTGATATCCCAGCTGCATCTGTCCACACAGAACGCAGCTCGGTAACAAGTGACATAGCCGCTACCGTGGAAACAGGGCTTCTTGCCGATGTGCTGAAGCTCCAGATGTGGATTTATTAGTACTCGCAGATTGAAATGCTGCGTATTAAGGCTATGCGATGCGAACACTTTCTTTCTCACCTGCATCATTTTGCTTCATGTCGGCGTCACGTAATCTCCAACATTTACATCGGAGTCGACGTCACCTTCAGCGGCCAAGTTCGTAAATTTAGCATGATTATCTTTAGCGATTTCACGTCCTTGTTGTAACATTAAATGTTTTGATGTCAGGTTTTAATCTGTGAGCACTGGACATGTACACACTGTGCATGCGCTGCTCGTGTCACGTGAAAGTGACGATGACGATGGCGACAGTATTTTCATGCATCGTCGAATCTTCAGTTTGATAGCCACTGTAGCTCCGTTCTGCCACCTGTTTACCACTGTAGCTAAATAATTGCACTTCGTTCTTTTTCCAAGGGCAGTACGCCCGAAGCGAAAATGTCATCAGCATGAGTGAAGAACATTTATAATGTACTTGTGTAACGGTAGCTTCTCTCCCGCAATAAATTAGAACAGTTCAAGTAGTGGCTTGACTAATTCAACTGCTTGAAGTCATTGGATACTTTACGACTTTGTTTTAACAGTGAAGCTAGTTCAAGCCGATGTAGTCATGACTGCTTGCGGTATGAATGCTTGCAGAAATCAGTTATAGCACTTTTTGATCGGTGTAAACTTTCGGGCGTGGAGGAGGAGGAGGGCATAAATGAAATGCAGGCAGATCAACCAGATGCACGTCTGGTTTGCTACCCTGAACTGAGAGAAGGGGTGAGGGGGTTAATGAAGAAAGAGAGGTGAAAGGCAACGTGTGGGTACATTTGACTTTGTCCATTGCGCGCTTATAAGCGGCTACGTAGTGCGGTCGTCTTTAGAAAACCTAGCAATGCCAGGCTTCAGACAGCGGCTACACTGACGTCAAACTACCTTCAAGGACGAGGACTGGAGCTGTCATATGAGAAATGCTCACTAGTTACGTTTACACGCAAGACAATGACGCCATACCGCATCAGAATTAATGGACACACAATCAGCTATCGAAAGACTCACCGTTTCCTGGGAGTAATAATAGATCGTGATTTGTCTTGGAGCCCTCATATCGCTTACATGAAGAAGAAACTGACCATGATCACCCACGTCCTAAGGTTTCTTGCGGGAAAATCATGGGGTGCATCGGTACGAGCCATGCTTCAACTGTATGCTGCACTTTTTCATGGCTTCATGCGCTACAGCCTACCTGTGCTTGGCAAGGCCCGCATAACAAACGTACACGTCCTCCAGTCATTACAAGCTCAAGCACTGAGAATATGCCTCGGGCTGCCGAGATGCGCATCCTCAGCAGCGACTGTCGCAATCGCTCATGAACACCCTATCACAACCTACATTCGTGTCGATGCTTTAAGAACGCACATAAGACATGCCACTCGGATTCAATCGCATCACCTCGCCTCCCTTACAACTTCCAGGCCATGCTCTGCGTTCTGCTCTATTATTGCCCCACATCGCACGGTGATTCCTACGAACTTCACGCACGCAGCAAGACCGTCGTTACCATTGTGGTGTCTACATCCACTGGAAGCCTTGATAACCATCCCCGAAATGCAAAAGAAGAAAAATTTGTCAAAATTGGCCCTAAAACAAACATTACTGTTTCTGCATAAGAAACACAGTGGACGCATTCACATTTACACGGATGGGTTGGTCACTTCAACAAGTTCGACAGGCGCTGTGGTAATTCCGGAGAAATCCATCACGATAAAGTTCAGGACCTCGCATCTGACATCATCCACGGCGGCAGAACTCGCCGCCATTCGTGCCGCTCTGGAGTTCCTAGTTGAAGAACCGCAACAGACATGGTCAATATTCTCCGACTCCAAAGCAGCTCTCCAGGGAATTTCCTCGCCATATCGTCATGAACCAAATGAACAGCTAATTGCTGAAATACGACTGCTTCATCACCGGGCTATAGAGAAACAACATGACATAGTGTATCAATGGATACCAGGCCACTGCAGCATTGATGGAAACGACCGTGCAGATGAAGCAGCCCAAACTGCTCATGATGATGCCCCTTGTGTAGCTATACCATTATCAAGAACGGACGCCGCTGCAAGGCTTCGATTACTTGCACGAGAACTGACACTCGCTCAGTGGAATTCACCGGCATTCGCCAACGTCCGCCTCCATAATTTGGACCCATACCTACAGCTCCGTCTTCCATCAGGAATAACCAGAGCAGAGGAGACACTTTTGTGCCGTCTGTGGATTGGGGTGGCCTTTACGAATGCTTATTCGTTTCGAATCGGAATGACCAGAAGGCCGACATGTGACAACTGTGGCTGCGCAGAGACTTTATCCCATCGTCTCTGCGAGTGTCCCCACTTCAGCGTACCAAGAAAAGAACTGTCAAAAGCTTTAGATAGAATAGACAATCGCCAATTGTCGGAATAAAGAGTATTAGGACACTGGCCGAGACCGTCCTCTGCACGCAAGGCATTGAGAGCGTTGTTGCGCTTTCTTCGGGCAAGTGGTCTTAGAGACAGACTGTAAACAACGTCGTGGATCGTCTGATGACCTTCTCTCTCTCTTTTTACGTCTCTTTTCTCTCATCCTTTCTCCCCCTTACACCCTTCCCCAGTACAGGGTAGCCAGCCGGTCTGAGAACTGGCTAACCTCCCTGTCCTTCCTCATTTATTCCTCCTCCTCCTCCTCCTAGCAATGCCCACGTCGCTTTGCTGGCCTACAACGCGTAGAGCCATGAACCGAGTATCTTCTCTTCGGAAAAAGGTCTACTATCTATAGTTTCCGTAACGTTTCGCGTAGCAAGTTTCGTTCGCTCGCAAAACAATCCCATAAACGCAGTAGATGTTCTATTGTCTCGTCAGTATTGCACGATTCATATCTAGAGCTATCCGCCTTTCCTAGGTGAAAGAAGTATGCCTTCGTGAAAGCTACTCCTAACCACAGGGGGCACAGTAAAATTGTATCCCGGCGCCAGAGGTTCCATAGAACTTGAAGCTTTTTCAATGGGTCTAATTCGTGTAGGTGGCGGTTTCCGAAGCAGGGTTCACTCAGCCAAGTTTCCGACCCAGTGTTAGCAAACGAGCGAAGGTCCCTTGCAGCGTCGGTTCTCGACAAGAATATTGGGGTTGTTGGGGCGTCCGCATAGGCGGATTGGGCAGCATCCCCAGCAAGGTCGTCACAGGCAATGCCACAATGTCCCGGCCCGATAACCACTGGAACACCACGTCATGTCCTTTCGATAAAACTTAGTGAAGCACTTCTCTTATTTCATTTACTAGTTGTTCATGTACATTTTGTCGTAAATCTAATTACAAGCTCTGAAGGGATGCCTTCGAGTCGCAGAACACAGCCCATTATTGAGGCCAGGCTTCCGCCATATAACGTATAGCAGCACGCAAGATGGCAAGCTCCACTGCTATGGATGTTGTCCTATGGGACAGTTTGAACTTTACAGTGACTTGGTACGTCGGGATGACATACCTGTGGAGCTGTCAGCCGAGACCGATCCATTGGTGTAAATTTGGGTCCTTTGACCGTATTTTTCGTTGAGTAGCGACAAAGTCGCCTGTTGCAGGACCACTGGCGGTTGATCTAAATAAAACGATCTTGCTGCGAGTAACGTCAAAGAGCAATATAGCTTATTATCTTTCGTTCTAAGTGAAATGGTAATAATGGCTGTGGAAAAATACAAGTATTTGGGCGTCACAGTTAATAATAGCTTTACTTGGTCAGACCACATATCCCTTGTCTGTTCTTCAGCCTTCACCAAACTACAATTTTTGAAAAACATACTTAAAAAAGCACGTTAGGCGCAGGGAGCCTTCGCAGGAGAACGCGCGAGCCCGAATACGCAGACTCGGTAGAACAACTCCCACGGTTTCTTACGCAGCCGCCAAAACATCCCTCAGGCGAAAGCCAACTTTTTGTTCTAGGTCTATGTATCTATCATGCATGTCGAGTGGTTTTATCCAAATGTAAACGCATGGACGAAGGAAACGCGAAGATGGTGCTGACCCCGCAACATGAAAAACCAAAAACCCAGAGCATTGATCTTGGCGTGCCATATACCAAAATTTTCTCGACCTAAAGTGACCTTGCACTGCCTGCGTGATCACAGTACATTGTTACTTCGCCTTAGGTGGGCCGCTTTTGATAAAGTAATGATGTCCTGCGATGACCTCATATGAAGGCGTTTTCACAGAATTATTTTTTGTACCTCAATCCTAGTTGACGCGAACGTCAGCGGTCAGTTTTGGCACTCGAGGAAGCATCTGAGACCTTGAAAATGTCTTTTTGAAACGTGCTGTTTCGCTTTTGAGTCCTCTCGGGTGAATGAATAGGAACCCGATGAGTTTTAGATTGATATCGCTAGACGAAGCAAGCTCTCTTTAAACCATTTCTGCACGGTATTTGCAACAATGAAGCTCGCATATAGATGTTGCACCTGTGCCACGGAAAGTTGGATATAGGTATTAGTATCACCTTTTACAGTTCGCTCTCTAGTTGCTAGTTCATACCTTCGTCATCATTATAATCTCTTGAGCCTTTGTAGCCCGTATACTTCTGGTCACGATAAATATTACACTACCGGCACGTATCCTAGTTATATTTTCTGGGTGAGAACAACAAAAAAGTATTGCTGGGCCTCTCTTTTCCAGGTTCTTTTCTCCTACTTTTCCAGAGGGTGAAAATTATGCTAGCCGAGTAAGGCTTAATACTCTTAGGGGCTTAACGAAGCCTTTTTGGCTGATGCTAGGTCTTTGATTGGCTTATACAGAGTCCAACCACAACCTGTCACAGACCATGCAAGAATTTCCCAACTCCAGGACCGGAACTGGCGTGCAAAGCTGCCAGTAGCTGTCTCGCTAGAAGCACCTGCCTTTCGTCGCTCGTAATCGGCTTCGCGCCACGCCGGCAAAGTCGACGAGGCGGTTGTGCGGACTGTCTCCACCACTGGGCGTGGCTTATGAACAGCGGCGCGTCATAAGTAACGGCGCGGAGTGTTTTATTGCGATAGCAATCATATGGAGACTCTCGGCTGGATTTCGCCGCCGGCGTCGGCGTCGATGTCATGTATAGTATATTTATACGTATCTATATATACGAAAACGCAAGAAAAAAATCGAGAAAAAAGGCTAAGACTCCGGCGCGCGGAATCGAACGTGAGACCTCCACGTCGTGAATGCGAGGCGTCATCCACTGAGGTACCGAGAGATACCTCCTTCCACGTGTAAACGGCAAGCTATTTACATCTACCACTTAGCACGGTTGGCGAGCATCTCGGGTGGGGGCGGCGGGATATCGTGTTTTCAGCATTATCAGCAACATGGTGCAATGAGCGCGAGGCAGCTCTCGTCTCTCACGCGTACTTTGGCCTGCGGAGATGAGGAGTGGACGATCTCTTGCGAGCCCTTATCTCCCGATGGGCACGATCATACGTCTTGGCTGGCGTTGGGCGAGCATGGAATGATTCTGTTGTAGTTACGGGGCGCACAAAGGTCACTGAAATTCTTTCACAGCCTCAGTTTGCGAAACGGGCGCGCTTTTCAGACACAGCGAAGTAACAACTGAGACGCTTATTCGCGTTCCACTTGTACCTGTGAGTACGTTTCGTGCGTCATTTTGTGCGTGAGAAACGCGGGGCACGTTTCGATCTGCTTGCCATTCTGTGCGTGACCTTCCAATTTGTTGCTATCGCGTTCACTGCTTTGCTTTTGCGGCAAAGCTGTGACTTTTTTAGGCGTGAAGCTCCTGAAGCCATGGGTCGGGCGTCCCCGATGTATGTGGTAGTGGTAGTAGTGGTAGTAGGTAGCCACCTCTTGTTATTCCTTGGAATGTCCGTTGCATGACGGTACTTGTATATGATGAATATATCATGAAAAGATCCGAGATAGTGGTACTAGGAGTGTTAACTAGGCGGACTGACGGACAGGCAGATGGAAGCAAGGACGAATGAACGGACGAAAGCACGGACTGACATACGCTTCGACCCACTCATCATCATACACTACGTGGATATGCTGTGATTTTTTGTGTGTGTACACCCGACGTTTTACGTTGAGGGATCAGAGATTCGCTCTTAAAATACACTTCTCTTACTTTTTAGACGCTGTGCGCCCCGAATTCTCATCTTTTGGTAAAGAGAGGACATTAGAGCAGAGGAGGAGGGAAGATAATTTTATTGCACTCGGAAAAATAATCTTTACGCTTCTTTCGAATGCACCGAATGACGTGAAATACAGGTCGTTTTAAAGAATGTTAATATGTGGGCTCTGTGTAGGTTCTTTCGTGCGCACTAAAATGGTTTTGAGCACTCGCAAGCAAACATGCGATGATTAGTGCACAGTGGACAACTTCTGGAGCAGCAAAAATTAGATTAGTTCAATGTACATTACATTCAGTCATTTCTTTCGTGCAGTGGGCTCTCGGATATTACATGACGAGGCTAACCCCGACTTGCCGAGGTTTTGACAGCTTTTACGGCTATTACAGTGGAGAAGAGAACTACTACACCCACAGTGTAACATACGTGAGTATGCTCTCCAACATGACGCGTTGGCAAGCCGGGTATATAAAAGTAACAATGCCGCACGTTCAGTGCCCTTTAGGATTAACTAAACCGCAGAACGATATGAACTTATTTCAGGAAAACCATACAGGTCTCGACTTCTGGCTGAACAGGGACCCCATATTGTCTGCCAATGGTTCCTATTCGACAACGCTTTACACTGAAAGAGCGAAGCATCTTATCCGCAACCGGGACAAGTCCAAGGTAAGAGCACGTAGGTTAAATTACAAATCAGATAAGGTGCTTCCTCGCCACCTCCCGAAAACGTACTGTGCCTAACCTTATTTCGCGCCATGTAGCACTAATGTGGGATAACAAAGTAGACTGGAGATGGCAGAATGCTACAAAATAGACAGTCCAGTGGAAAAAGATTGTTACAAACTGTGCAGTTCCTGTTCAAGAGTAAAGCCCGTGTTAAGATTGTTCTGCGTGTTAGCGCTCTCGGTAGCATTCAGACGATTATGGCGAAATGGCGACGATTTGTGCGAGCAAGAAATCGGGGAATGCTTATAGAGCCAGAAAATAACAATATTTTTATTCGACTGCAATCATGATCATGAGGGGGCGAATGCTTGTGACACGACCAAGTTATAGTCACAAAGCGAATAGTTGCCAAACGGTTGCTTTCGCAGCAAATCGACTGTTTTAGAAAATTGTCGTTCCCAGCTCTGTTTTCTAGTGGCCAGCCTTTGAACCGTACGTACGTGCGAGAACCGGACATCCTCTTATTTTATGAACCAATGAAAATGCGAGGCGTATGCTATCATACGTAAACTCCGCGTGGTGAGGACGCAAGTAGGGCGTGTAGCTGCCAACATTATAGTGCCCTGCAAACGTTAGTCACCTGTAGCGGGTAGCACGCTTCTATGAAAAATTACGAATAATGGCACAGTTGCCGTTTCCACACAGCGGAAAAATTTTGATTTATTGCGTAATGGGTACCTTGTAAGTGTGATTGGAGCAGGTACCCAAACAGTGTTGAAAAAAAGGCCTCTAGAGAGGCCACATTTTCGCTCTGACTGTGCTGTGCGTTCCGCGCAGGCCCGGCCGTTTTTCGACATCTGCGCTAAATGAACTTGCATTGTTTGTTAGGTTTTATCGCTTGCCGGACGTCGAGAAACTTGTAGTGCATGCCACAACGATACACTTCCATGGTCTTGCACAAAGTGTGATATACTAGGTTGTTGTAATTAACCGAGAACTCGTCAGTTATGTGTATACTCAATGCGAGCACGAACTTTAATCCACTTAGTTTTGATTTTTCGGTATAAATCGACTCATTTTTGTTGTTACTTCCGCAGCCCCTCTTTCTGTTTCTAAGCTACCAAGCCCCGCATGGAGCAGGAGACCCTGAGCCATTTCAGGCACCGCAGGAAAACATTGACAAGTTTCCTTACATTGGAGAAAAGAACAGAACAATCTACGCAGGTGAGTGCTAAATATTTTTCTTGCTCATAAGTGTCATATTAACTGGAGTTGTTTGGTGTAACCAGTAGCGCACAGCATGCACTTCTAACATTTAGGAAGTGTTCCATGGGTAACCACTCACTTAACGATTCAGCATGAAAACTGCCTGTCCGCCTGTCCCGTAAAGTGAATCACTCTTAATAAATGAAGGTAAAAAAATTAGTTGATCCCTCTGATATAGAAATCGGTACATCACACGAAAGTAAAATCGTGGCGTCATAGAAGTATAGCTCAATAGAAATTCTTGCACATTGGTGGCTACAGCACCCTTACATGTTGATGCACCCATGTCGACATATGGCCGCACATCATCTCCTCCACGACAATCAACTACTCGCAACCGGTATACACTTTCCGGAGACACTGCACTAACCAGAGAATTGTGTAAATCACACTTGAACCACAGGCGATCGCAAACCGTGCAAGCGAAACTGAACGGGTTTTCACTCAATCGTTTCGCCACTCATCGTCTGCTGCAGCGAGGCAGCGTGACTTGTGGGTCAGCAACCATCCTGTGGACATGTGCTTGGCAAGCAGCATCCTACTGGCGAGCAGCGTCCAGCTGATAGGTCACTTCGGTGAATGTACGATCATTTCGGTTCTGCATCGGTGTCTATGGCAGCAGGTTGGGTTGCGATGCGCTCAACTTCACAAACGCGAGAGACAGTTCTCAGCTTGTGCCCTGAAGGCGCGAAAGGCTCCCGCTCTCCCCTGACATGTCCATCCCTGCACTGAACTCACTATAGCGCGACCCGTCGATGCCGCTGTACTTCAGTGGCACTTAATGCAACAGTTCTCGCTGCGGTATCATCGCACACGTATAAGTAGACGGCAGAGATACACCATTGCTTCATACACTACACTGCACACGGTAGCACAACGCGAAAGACGAAGCACGTGACTACGTCGTCACCGACGCGTAGTCACGCGTAGTCATCGCAATGACAGGCGGCCCTTGTGACCTACGAAATCAGCCCCAGGAACCTTGTCGGAGCCGATTGCGGAGGCAACGCTACACGTCGTTCAGAGTAGGCCCAACGCCACCTAGGTGGCGTTGGTAGGCCGCTCTAATTTAGGACCTTAGCTCTGATGCCAGCGTCCGTTCCAATGCTGGCATCGAAGAGTCCAAGGGCTGAGACTACCGCAGTGTTATCTGTCCGTGTTAATAGGTGTCATAACGCACCCCCCCGACAAACGACGAGCGCGGGTACAGAGCGAAGGAGTGCGAGATATATAAAAGACGTCCCAAGTATGTTTTCGAAATGCGCCGATAGCTCACTTGGCTAAGAGCGCGCTTCCTATCGCCGCAAATAGTGGGTTTGGTTTCCGGGTCTCCGAAATTGCGAAGTTTTCTCTTCATTTTATGTTTTCTGCTTCATTTCTGTGCATGCTGAGCATAATGATCTTTGCATGCTAATCATCTCGCCGATGGGTGGCTGGGGTTTCGTCAAGCTGTCATTAAGCAGCTTTTTTCTGGAGCACCTTTTATCAACCCGGGCACCTTTTTTTCACCGTAAATGTTTGTTTTTTGGTAAAAGTAAAATTATTTGATTGATCGATTGATGTAAATCGTAACAACTTCATATCTGTGACCGAAATGCGTCAGGAATGTCTTGATGGAGCCCGGCATAAAACACTTCCATGTTAAAATAACGTTGTGAGCCATGCAGAGCACGCTTACACGCACAGGTGCATCTACAGGGGGGGGGGGGAGCCAAGGGGGTGCGAGCACCTCACTAAGAAATGCAAGAGGCAAAGTCCCCTTCCGACAGTGGTGAATGTCGGCTGCACACTGGAAAATTAACCCCTGTGGCATCATCACAGACATCAAACACGTCATTATATAAGGAAATCCGTCCTACGCTTCCGCCGTGATAATCGTTTTCAACGTCTCACGACCATGCACTGTAGACTTTCTGCGCTGCAAGCCGGCTCTGCAATGCTGTCGGGCCTTATGCTGCATCACCCTAGAGGAGGATACCGCTGAGCAGGAGCACTATAATGTTGACAACACTCGGTTCTTTTATTCTGCTTTACGTGGCTTCAGTCTGAAAACTGCGTGTTCATCTGTAACGCAAGGTGACTCGCTATGCATAAGTAAACGTATAAAACAAAATAACCTTTTCGATCATGCAGAGTTTCTTTGGATGTGATTGACTCCCCCCCCCCCTTTCCCCTGTTTCGATCCATTGCGGTGAAAAGTCGTCCCTAGGGCGTATAATTATTCACAAGACCTAGTGACTTGTGATTTGAGGCAAGTGTACTGAAATCTGTAGCCGGAAGGCAACTTTAGAGAGAAAAAAAAACCTTATGTGCGTCTCACTTTAGCTCGTAATGTACCACGCATATGTAAACATGAACAGTACAACATTGAGTACTCTGCTGCGTCATGGTCTTAGCAGACACGTATGTCGGTACACTGAAACTGAATGCATTAACCATTAATGTGATCAATGCGATGCAATAACCGTAATCGCGATTGCTTTATCCTCGTGTTTTGTTCCTGTCTGTTGAATGCATGATTTTCCTTTTTTTATATAAAAGCTGTCAGAATTCAAACTCAACTGAGTCGCCATTCACAAGTGAACCATTCTCGGGCGCTCACCGCACATCCTTCTTAATATCAGCCCGGCGAATAGAGCTGAACCGTTCGTCACGACGCTTCATCTAAACCTCCACAGTACGGCTACAATGTCTGCGAATAACGTTCGGCAAGGAATAAAAATATTAACCTGTTTTGGGTTCTCCGGCACGTCACCTTCCTTTAGTGCCATTCCCGCTCGGTGCAATTGAGCATGATAACGGAGGGCGGGCGCTAAATACGACTAAACCTTGTATGCCACACAGACACTGTGCTCACCAACGTTTCTGGAACTGCTTCTAAAAACGTTAATATACACGGCCGTAAACATAGCGGCCGCAAGCAGCACCTTCCCAGAATGCCGTGCGGGTATGCTGCGGGCAGCAGAGGGTTGCTTGGAAGTGGATGCCGCCTATACTGATAGGACGAGCGTTCTGGGCTCAAGTATATTTTTTTCTATTTATCGGATGAGCGTATGCAATATCGCACCGTGTAAACTGTGGTGAGCAGAACCTACACCCTTAACCACTTGCCTTGCTTCAATGACGTCTTTTCGCCAGCAGTGTTAGCACAACGAGAGGGCTGGAATGCTAATTTTTGCCTTGACGCAGCTTTTTGGAGTGCACATCTGTTAACGCTCGTTTACGAGAGGCGGTCACAAATGTGCACATTGAAGTGTGAAATGCTGCACATATCCTTTCTTTTCTTGCGAATAAACGAACTACGTATATTCGGTTCATAGGTAGGCAGAAATACCTGTAAGTTGACTTCCTTGCATTCACTCACTCAGATCTGACCATGAGTCTGAGTCGGATAGTGTCAACGTAGTAATATATCTGTGAGGCTGAGTGCGAGTGAGTCCAATTGAGAATAAAAATTAGTGAGTCTGAGTCGCAGCGTGTCCACTTGAGGAAAACTGGCGAGTCTTAGTTCAACAAACCATAAGCGCAATATATATCTCTGCCTCCCTCGCGGCCATCACATCTCTCTCTCTCTCTCTCTCTCTGAATGAGCCGAAGTGAGATCTACTTCTTTTCTGCTGACACGTAGTCCTATCTACTCATCTCACCATCAGCCTTTTGTCATCTCACGTTTATACTCCCGTGTATTCGCAGCACGTATTCCAACGCACCAGGGATCATACCTCGACTCAATATTCATGGATCAGAGGGGCGAGTTACGGAACAGTGAATGGAAGCTGGATGCTTTGCTTCTCCCGTAAACTCTTTCATGGGAAGTTTTCGATAAAGAAATATCATGTCAGACGTGCTATAGAGCACTGATAGCTCATATATAAAGGTACAAGATCAAAAGGCGCCACATGAAAATATTCGCGTCATGAAGGACACCCTGATCGAAAAAGTGAAAAATACGCCAACACTCTCTCGAGTCGACTCATTCATACTCAGATACGGCCGTGAGTCAGTCCGAATGAGCCCTAAGGCGCGAAATACTCTTATCGAGTGAGTCTGAGTGTTCTTACCTTATATTGCAGAGCCATGCGTAGGCGTGACCTCCCTATTATCTGGCTTTACAGGCATGGTGGATGCGCTGGACCAATCTGTGGGTGAAGTGGTCAAGGCCCTGAGCGACGCTCGCATGTTGCAAGACACCATCATCATTTTCAGCAGCGACAACGGCGGTCAACCATGGGGCTTCCACACAACCCGCAGCATCAACTGGCCCCTACGTGGATCCAAGGGCACAGTCTGGGAAGGAGGCACCAGAGTTCCGGCATTTATATGGAGTCCTCTCTTGGTCCGCGCTCAAAGAGTCTCCTATCAGCTTATGCACATCACGGACTGGCTGCCCACTTTATATTCGATCGCCGGTTGGTACTCGTTACGGTTGTTTTATTGCATGTTCCTGATCGCTTAACGAACACAAATAATAGGCCAGTTAGATGTTACAGTGTCAGAGGTGAATGGTTACTGAAGCCAGAAGAATACATATTCACATTCTTTTTAATGTAAAGATATAACCTTGTTGTTCCTGATAGCTTGTATAATGTACGGATGTGTTCAAGTTAGTTCACGCCACGGAATAAAGCTGTAGCTAAAAACACAGCCTGCTTGAGGTGAGCACATGCTTCTTGCCCATGGTGCAAGCCGTACAGCTTCCTAAGCTGGAACTACGGATAGGGGCGCTTTACGTTAACAGTTCCTTTTTTGTTAGCTAAGGAGAGTTTTTGTAGCGGTACACAAGTCCACAATTCGCGATATCTACAAGCACCAAGCGACGTCGACTATAGCCCCGCCGCGGTGGTCTAGTGGCTAAGGTACTCGGCTGCTGACCCGCAGGGCGTGGGATCGAATCCTGGCGGTGGCAGCTGCATTTCCGAAGGAGGCGGAAATGTTGCAGGCCCGTGTGCTCAGGTTTGGGTGCATGTTAGGGAAGCCCAGGTGGTCGAAAGTTACGGAGTCCTCCATCATCACACATCCACCCTTCTAATCAATGCATGCGAACCAACGATGCGTCAGCTGATAGTAACATTATTCGTGTGTTTGTTTTCCCTCTTACTTTTCCGTTTTAGCCCATCGCAGTATCGCAACACCCATAATGTTTGGCAGCCAAGCGTAGCGTAAAGTGGCATTACCGCTCTTTATTTAGGGGATATGCCCGCAGTGGAGCAGTGGTTATAGCACTGTACTGCTAACCAGAAGGATGGAGGTTCAAACCCGGCGATGGCGTGCGCATTTTGGTCGAGGCAAAATGCGACAAAGGCTTATGTACAGTGCGCGTTCAAAAAAAAAAAAACAGATCAGATTTTCTGGAGCTCTCGTAATCATATAATTTTGGGATGTAAAATGCCAGATATTGTTAATATTAATACTGCAGGATTTAGATGAATTCTGAGAGTGCCCATGTAAAGAGATAGAGGTTCCCAATACCGGACTACAGGTGGTCATAAAAAAATTCAGAATCCTCCACTACGGCCTACCTCATAATCATATCATTGTTTTGAAAAAAAAAACACGAAAGAACTGATTTGGCTTACTCATGACTTGTTCGTTACGTTGATTGTTTATGTGCAATATCGTTATTCGTGTTGTTTCACTGTCCAAATGAGTGTGAACATATTTTCTTCATTTTCTAATTTTCTATCTAGCTTGTATTCTCCTATCTTCTTTTACTCGACTCTTCCTTCTTCCGGAAAGAGTAAGCAGGCATTCTGCCCTCCGTAGTTGTCAACCTGCTCTATCCATTTTGTCTGTGTCTTTGTGCATGAATAAGAACAATAAAACTTGGACCATCTCCCCGAAGGGAACCCTGGTGAGATGCAAAGCAGCAGCTTGCGCACTGGTGGCGTCGTGGGTTGAACGGTGCTAGCGAGTGTGCTGCGGTGAGTGCGACAAGATACTTTTGAAGCCTCGGCCGACACAGGTCTTGTAAGTGACACGCACACACATTTCAACGCGTATACGTTAGGCACACGTTAGGTTTATTGCGCGTGAACCGACAAGTCTGCGATGTAGTGAGCGGCGGTTGCGGCAGGTGTTGCGGACGAACGGACGAGGCGGCAGCTCCGGGCGCCGCGGTGAGCGCGCGGCAGGCTAGAGAAAGAGAGTGACGTCAGTGCTCACTACGAGGGGGACGTGACGTCGACGCGCAGCGGCCGCGTGACCTACTAGGCACCGTGCCCACACCTGCGGCGCGCGGCACGTTCGTACTGGGGGACAGCGCTACACGGGCTAGTGAAAGAGCTGCTTCACATCTAATAACAATAACAATAATACCGTGTGCATGTCACAGGTTGAGTAATGGTACTTTACTTTCAAGTACTTGTAGAGTTTTCCGTACTGGTTCAAGTGTCAGTGCGCGCGTAATCTGATAATCTCCAGCCCATTTTTTTTAACGACAAACGCTGGAATTACCAACAGTTAGCAGAGGACAGGGATGAGTGCGAATTTTCCAAAAATTCTTTAAAACTCGCGCTGGCCCGTTTCTTCTGCGTCCTTGCCTAGTTTTTTGTGCAACTATTTTTCCTTGCAAGACCGTCAAGAGCTTCTTAAGTTCTTGAACGGGATTGTCCGTTCCCCATCGAACAATGAGCCCAACTGGAGGAGATTGTGCTATTTAAGCGCATTGTAAAGAACCTCGGGTGGTCTAAATTACCTCGATCCTCCTCTACGGCGTCTTCATAATCATATCGTAATTTTCAGATGTAAAACCACTATAAATATTATTATGTACTGAGCCTTGTATACCCTTGCGGTGCTTGGTTGCAGGAGGCAGCGTACACGCCCTTGGCAAGCTTGACGGATACAATATGTGGGAGCATCTGTGTTACGGTCTGGGCTCCCCTCGAGTAGAGATGCTTTACAACATAGACTACCGGTTCCTGAACAGCTCTGCCCTACGACTGTGGCGCTACAAGCTAGTACTGGATGGCACGGGTTTCATGAGCGAGCGGTTCCCGAGGCCCGGTGGGAGTCGCCCCCACCGTGACCTCGACCGACTGCTCCATCAGTCGCTGGCAGCTAAAGTACTGCGTGGTTTTTACAAGAGGGACCACCTGCATTTCCCGAAGCAGTGGCGGGACAGGGCCACGCTGAAGTGTCATGTGCCGACGTGGGCACGCTTTCGCGACAAGGACGCCATCCACTTGTTCGACATCGTCACGGATCCGTGTGAGCTGAACAATGTGGCCCGCTTGCACCCCGAGGTCAGTAGAGAAAGCAGTGGTATATAACCTATAGCCTCTCATATTCTAACCCTACATGATGCATTCTTATCTCAGGCCCATGAGCGTAAGAAAAGTTATCTTGACCATCACAAGCACTCGTTCAAGCGCGCAAGCTTCTTGCTCAATGTTTTCAAAAGATAGGTGTAGATATCGCCTGCCTGTTTTTAGAGTGAATTATAACGTACTTGCAGGTCATAGTTTACGAAAAATTACCTCTTCGTAACCTTTTCAATGTTAGATTTTTACGACGGAGCTGCGAAGGTGTTCGTGGCACCCGGAAGCTCATCACGAATAGGCACGCGCTGTCTTCCTCCACCTTCTGCTTCGCTCCCAGAACACGACCGCCGATTTGTGCAGCATGGGATGTAACAACTCTGATGGGCGAGGAAACGAGTAGTGAGTGCGAGAGAAGGAAACCTATAAAGAAGAGATGAGAGGGAAAGTACTCTTTGTAAGACGGAGAGAGAGAGATGGAAAGAAAACGATACAGATAAAATATAGACAGCAAGAAAATGACAGAGAGTGAGATAGAAAGCGATACAAATAAAAAAGGAGGAAAAGAGAAAAGCACTGCCATATATATTATAACATAGCAAGGGGAAGGGAGAGCGAAGTGAGAGTGAGAAGGTAAAGCACAGCGCAGACTTACAGTATCGACCTATTGCATGTTTGTAAGCAGCAGTAGGCGCGAACGACACACTCAAGCACTTGTACCAACGTCGTAGAGCATAGACTCCACCCAGCCCTAAAGCTCACCACCACCCTCTATGATCACGTGAGCATTGTCACAACAGCTGCACAGGTGTCTCAGAGTTCAGTGAGTCGGGAAGCAAGCGGCCTTTGCACCTAACGTTGTCGCCGTTCTCTCGTTGCCTCTACCCCAGAACAACCGGACGAAGCCCAAGGTGCCTATTTGCGCAGACCCACAGGAAGCGTCCGAATGATGGTATCTTGACGAAAATATTTTTGGTACAACTGAACTTTCGTTGGTTTGATAAGCACTGCTTCGAGTGATAAAACTGGCCGTGATTAGACTGCTTCCAAAATCATGTTTACGTCCTGCTCGCTATAGGTGTGAAAGAAATCTTATTGACCGTTTTGCGCGTTCACTACACGAGCATTTCAGACTGACATTCTATCTCGGTTAATGAACTTATCAACGTTAAAAACGACCAGCACACCACTCTAGAGTCTGAGTGTGCACTGGTGCATTTGGATGCCAGTGTGATGAGTGCATGTTCTGTGCTGGCTGCACTGCGAGTATGCAGCTCTCAGCCCTACAGTCCATTCCTAACACAGGTGTTTGCACCTCTTTACCCATATTTCAACAGTACGCTCTGATGTGCAGCTGAGATGTATACCTTAATTTATGCTTTTCCTTCCTGCAGATCGTTGCAATCATGAAGCAGCGCATCGAGGACTATCAAGCTACGGCACTGCCTGTCCTATTCGAACCTAAGGATCCCGCAAGTTTCCCCGAGCACCACAACGGAACGTGGGCGCCTTGGGCAGGGTCGACGTGTTGATAGTCATTTGTTTCATCACGAATCCAATGTGGCTACTCAGGACTGGACGCGCTATCAGCATTTCTGTGTGACCACTGAACACTCCCTGATAGTGGGTAACCTATGATACGTCACTGAAAACTGCACGTGATGGTGCCATTTTAGAGTGACGTAGGACTTAGTGTGCGTAATGGGATTTTATCTACCTTCATTTATGACAGGCTCATATAGTGCCTGCTTTGACGATTTCTTTTAGCGGGCTTCTTCGCACGGAGGAGGGGCCCACTGTTCAGGCTTGTTTTAAAGCTATGATATTTATAGGTGTTTTACATTGCGTGCGTATTTTTAGATGCATTATACATTTTAAATATGTCTCCATTGATTGGGACAACGACGCCTGCAATCTGTCAGCCATCCAATCTGTCAGATCTCCACCAAGAGTCTCACATTTAGACGCTTGTTTGGTGCGAATGATCGCTATTTTTTGTTCTTTTTTTAAGCACGACGTACCAAAGTAATGCTGCTAAGTCGGCTTTAAGCGAAACATTTATTTCGAATGCACGATGCACTGTAGGAGGCGAATAAATCATATTTACAAAAATAGGTTTTGCGTTTCTGCTGTGTCGGACTGCATTGTTTAAACGTCGTCAGTACAGTGAACGAACCATAATATAGAGGATCTAATCATGGGATTATTACCCACTCGATCTAGAGTAGGGTCCTTATTTTTTAATAAATATGAGTGCTTGTGTTCACGGCTTCAGGGGGAGGAGATATAATAAATAAAACACTATATTTTAAAGGCGAATAGAGTGATGAGCCAGTCTTTCGAAACATGTGAGCAGTACAAAAAAATATAAAGGGGGGGGGGGGCAATTACCATGCATTGGTGGTGCGAAGAGAGAGGAAACTGCCGAGGCGGTGGCCTTGTACTTACCCACGCTAAACAACGCTGTGCCGTCCCTGCTCTTCACACTCACTTCCCTTGGTGCACTGAACACCTTGGTGTACCTTGGCACCACTTGGTGTACTGCACTGCACATGGCTAGGCTGTACCCTCTTCGTCCTGCACCCGACGTTTCCTTCGGGGAGCCAACTACCATCGCTTGCGCCTGACACGCTTTACGCGATTCCAAGATTTTCAAGTTTCGAAGTGTGACATCTGCGAAAACAATACAAACACCACTGGCTTTTCAACACTGCATTTTCTACATGAACTCTACAACCTCTACTCAGACATGATGGCAGGTTCTCGGAAAGGTAGGTCTTCTATCGACAGCGTAGTCGATCTGGTATCAACTGTCAAACAGGAAAAGAAGCGTCAACGCGTGACAGGAGTACTTGTTTGGGTGTTAAAGGTGCCTACAATAGTGTATTGCATGACGCCATCCTCGACGCACTTGAGGAGCCAGGAATTAGAGGTAGGATGCTTCTGTGGATATTGAATAATTTGATAGGAATAATTTTAATGAATAATTCTACAATAATGTAACACATTACCAATTTCTAGGAGTCGTGATCGACCGAAACTTGGTTTGGTTGAAGCATGTGACGATTCTTAGATCCAAACTAAGCAGTTTCGTACATATGGTTACATACATACGAGGCACGGAATGGGACCCATCAGAAAGGTCATTGCTCCAAATGTATGAGCCACTTTTCGTAGGCTACCTGCAATATGGCTTACACAATATGACCAGTATTCACCCTTCCTGCCTCCGTACATTGCAAAGCTTGCAAGCTCAGGCATTGAGAAAACGTCTTGGATTGCCACGCTGTACTTCAACGATGGGAGTTAATGCGGAAGCACGCATATAACTCCAATAGACAGCTATCTTTCATGCGAACCTTTAAGAGTATATCTCTTGTTGACCAGTCACAACCTTTAAGAGTGTATCTCCGACTGTTGACCTGTCAGAACATTTAAGAGTATCTCCGAATGTTCACCCGTCATGGTCGTCATTCTTTAACGACGATTCATACCCGCCAATGTGACATCACCTACACAGATGGAATCTCGCGTCATGAGAACATCATTCCCTCAGACTATGCTTTGGCGAAAGTTGCAGTGGTACCAGCATGGAGGCCGTCAAGGCCTAAAATGCGCCTATTCATTCCAGGAATTGGGAAAAATCGCGTAGGCCCTCATGTGGCCTGAAACAGCTGATGTTATCGTTTATATCTGCAAAATATGCCTTTTCCAGAGATGTCTTTACTGATGGGTCTGTGTTACTCACTGCTTCCTCAGCAGCGTTCGTCATACCAAGTTTGAAGACCAGCTAACGCGTCCGTCTAGACCATCTAACGACATCAACAGCGGCAGATATTGAGGCCATCCGCGAAGGCATTCGTTATATATCGACGTAGTCTCCTGGCAGCTGGACTATATGTTGTGATCCTGGACCAGCACTTCAGATCTTCAATTCGGTACTTAAATGGTGTACATATCATCATCTTGCTCAAGAACTGGCTGAATCACACTATGTAGCCCTTAAAAGAGGTCATCGTATAAGGTATCAGTTTATTCCAGGAGACTTCATGGCCTACATGGGAACGAGCAAGCCGATGTAGAAAGCAAAGATGGTTCATGATAACGCCGCGAAATGGACTATTTCGTTTTTACGACTGATTAATAACTGTTGTGTATTAAACATCACAAGTACCAGTCACCAAGCAAAGCATGTTTTCATTCGTGAACGTATTTTGTGTCTACTACCAACTGAAATGCCAGTGATGTTTGCAGTGGTCACTACCGAGGGTTTCCTCAGTATTGAACCAGTCTGCGTGTTTTTTTTTTGTTTTTTGTGAATGCTAGGTCGGAGCAGGTGTCCCGAGTTACCTGCACGAGCTGATTGCACAAGGTTTGTGGGAAGAGTCATGCCTAGTCGTGGAAGTTAGCTCCGCAAGTTTCTTTCCACGCATCTCTTCCTTGTGATAGCCCCTATGCCTGCTCGTTGAAGCCACCCACTTTAAAAGAGCGTCATGTCCTGCGAGCTTCGGTGCCCTGCTGAAGATGTAAGTGAGCGTCATATTTTCGAGTTTAGGTTTGCAATAAATATTGAGGGTTAACACCGGAGGGTCGATGCTCGTAGAAGGACCGTGACCATAGTGTACGACTACGGTGTTGAAATGTTGAGGTCGACATCTTGCGTAGTTAAAGTTTCATGAAGGCCGGTGAATGGGTCCCGTTGAAAAATGGTATAACCCGAGAGGCGCACGGTGTTGCCGGGCTTCTGAAAAGCAACGACGGCGCATAGGTGTTCAAAGGTTTCAATATAGAGGCGGAAATGGACCCATTTGCCCTAGTCTTGAAGCCTTTACAATTCCACTGAATTAAAGACAATAGCTGAGCGGTAGTTTTTGGGGTGACGATGGGGTGCGGCGATTAAGATGTGTCACCATTGAAAAGAGCGGCTATTTGGGCTAGTTGTTTGGAATTCATGGTAATAAGCGCTGCAGCGCGAGCACGAAGGAGCTAGAAGAAACGTGAAACGAAAGGCGAGGCAAGGAAAGCAAAGAGGAAAACACGAGCGCTGAGTTGCCCTCTGAGCGCTGAGTTGTCAGCGCTCGTGTTGTCCTCTTTGCTTTCATTGCCTCGCCTTTCGTTTCACGTTTGTTTTAGCACCTTCGTGCTCGCGCTGCAGCCATATGTGTCACCATATTGGGAAATCGGGGTGACTGAAAGGGTCTTTACCCCAACGTCGGCGTCCTGTGCAAGTAGGAGCTCGGAGTTCTCGGAGGTTTCAGCAAAGCCGATGGCATGTGAAAACTTAAAGGGACGATTAACGTTCTTCAGGAGACTAGTACTTCTGCTTGGAGGGCTTACGCCGTGGAGCGAGGTTTTAATGTTACTCGTCACCTGTTGGTAGACAGTGTTGGAAAGAATTTTGATGCCTTTGCATACGGTGATGAGTTGTGCCATCAAAGCAGTTATGGTACTTTCAACAGGCGGAAACCGCTATTCAGTATTTGGAGGGCCCCGAGATGGACGGAATGGTGCACATGGACGTCGGTTTGGAGCGGCAATGGTAATATTTGTGTGGGGTGATGCTGGGGGGACTGGTGCACTACCTGTCTTCAAAGCGGCAATGTCGGCTTGAAGCTGAGCGTTTTGTGCCCGCAACACAGTGAGCTCTTGTTTGAGCTCGAAGAATTCGGGCGAGAAGGCGGGGAAGGAAGAGCAAGAGGAGCAGAAGGCGACCTTCACTCTGTTGCCTATCTGAGAAACTGTTTTCTTGGTCAGCCGCCTGTGGGCACTGGTATCAGTTAGAGGTGGAAAGTCCCCGGCTTGGAGCATGGGAGCATCCTATCAGGTGTCTTGGATGACGTCTGCTGTGACGCTCATGTCTTAGTTGGAGGTGGTGCTTGCTGACTGGTCCCTCCGGTAGCAGGGTTCTTGGTAACTTGGTTCGTAGCTCCCGGCTGACGTCCTTCTGGCATGACCTCAGATGTCTTAGGCGTTGACCTCTGCTTCGACGAGCTGCAGCTGCCATGATGCCCACCGGGCTGCTGCAAGCGGTGAAACCTTGTTTCGCAGGCCTGGAACGCGGTAAGGTGTCATTTGCCGCCCACAAGGCATGATAGCTTGCTTTCGCGCGGTGGCATCTCCTCCTCAGAGGCACCCGCAACTTGAACACAATGGCCGTAGCGTTAGTCGTTCGCGTGAGGACACAGCTCCACCCGGTGGCGCACCATTCCGCAGCGGTTACAGGCTGGAATGGTGCGTTTGTATTCACGTACTGTTGTCACGGCACTGTTGTAGTATACGAAACGTGGCACACGGCAACCCTTGAAAGTTATAAGGGTCACTCAAGTCTTGCCAAGCTTTCTGACGAAAGCGATGCTTCCAGCACCCCAGTGGATCTTTGCTTTCAAGGAGGCGGAGGTCTCCTGCTCGTGCACCATAATAATTCCACGGCACACTTCCCCACTGATATTGGCGTGGCCGATCATCGGTAGAGAACACTGCCATGTTTCGAGAGAGAATGCTTGTGAAAGAAGGTTCGCAGAGTTAACGTATACGGTTGAGACAGCGAGGATAACTTGCTCCCACATGGACCACACATTAATAGAATCCCTTGTGGTTGCGTTCACATATGAGGTGAGCTTGGCGCCAAGTTCACCTGGTTGAAAGGTAGCCTTGAGATCCACCGTGACCCGAGGCTGCAGCACGATGGGGAAGTCTTCCACAGCAATGCGAGACACAGCGGTAAACCACCACAATACATGGAATGTATTTTTCTCGGGTGTAATGTTCGCAGACGTGGCCTTATTGGTAGCCAAGCCCTTGGCATACCTTTAGACTGCTGAAGACGCTTGCCGTGGGCCACCACGGCGTACAGCCCCTCATCCACGATATCCGTTGGTGGAACGGAGTTTTAGGGCATTGAGGTAGAAACTCCTTTCCACGTTAACGTCATGGAATCAAATCTATGGAGAGCAGTGACGGCCATATGTGGATCCCGACGTATAATCAGTGTTCGGTTCAACGCTCGATCGGGCGAGCGTCGCTTCCATGAGGTCAGGTCAACAAGTGGTCATAAAGTGCCCAAAAATTGATTGAAAGGGGTGTTTTCTGGTGCAGAACGATTTTCGGAAGGTGA